GTGTGTGGACAGGAGAGTGTTGTTTAGTGCTCAGTCTAATGGGGGTGACAGGTCCTGTGATGAGGTTGATTAAATGAGAGTTTTTCGGTTTTTCGGTGCGCAGAGAAATCAACAAGCCCGATAACGTTCTCTACAAAATTCACATAGCAATGTGCACATCAAAGTAAAGAGAAAGGAAAACTCTTTCCGACTAATGGATTCTCGATCTCTGATTGGGCCTTTGCTAGCAATAACAAGCAAGCAAAGACAGGGGCTCAGAGCTAAAAACTGGCGCGTTTATTGTACTCATAACCTATTACGGATTTTGTCCACACATTTGCGTTCCAACCTCGTACTCTATCTTACGGGTAGATGATGATCGACTTCGTCATTGTTCTTTGTTTCTACTTCAYGTGACAGACCATTGTTTGCGGATGCGCTTTGATCTTCGAACAACTTTAAAACTAGCGTTACTTACTGTATGAAAGTACGAGGTTGGAAGGCAAATGTGTTGCCGAAAAGTGAAATAGGTTATGATTCCAAAAAAACCACGCAGTTTTTCTAGTAAAAAAAAAAACAGCATGAGGGCTGTCACGCCCTCCAGACAGAGCAATTGGGGACACTTCCTGGCAACACACCTACTGGAATAACTTCATTATAGTAATAAGAAGAAGGGGATCTGGAATTCTCGGATCAATCAACCAACAAGTGTTTTTAAAAATAAAGTTTTCCATATCAGTATCGTAGCATGCTACGTACAAATTAGTACTACCAAATATTTCGATATAAAAATACTTAATGGTTTTTATTAAAGCATGACAGGTTGAACTTGGGAAGGCAAATGAAGCCTATTGTTCCCTCCATAGAGCCGTGTACAATTTGTACTGACTCCGGACCTGTCACGGCCTCATTTGCCTTCCTACCTCGTAGTACCGGTACGTACTAGTACTGTTACTACGGATATCATAACAATTGATTGCGACACTAAGATAGTGGTTCCCATCGTTATTTTAATGATGCCATCCTTAGCCCAGTAGAACACAGTACAAAATGTACTGAGGTAGTTTGCAACTATTCTGGTGGCAGAGAACCAATCCTGCTTCTTTCTCAGAAGGCAAATCATGCTGAAAATTTTGGGGAGTAACACCTGCTACTGACGAGCTCTGTACTAGTAGTAGAATTTGTACTGAAAAAATTAAGGATGGCATCACTACTAAATTAACGATGGGAACCACTTTCTTAGTGACATGATCAATTCTTATGATATCTGTAGTAATCGCTAATAGAATGTGTTACAGTAGTAAGAAACTGTAAAAAACCTACAACTCCCTACTACTACTACTAGTAGTCAGGACGAGAAGTTATGGTTCTGGCCATTTGATAGTGCCTAGTAGATACTACTAGTAATATTAGTAAGATTATTTCAATCATCATGATGATCACTGCTTTTCCAACAGGTATTGATACAAGAAGTAGTACTGCTACTGTACTAGATGAACCAATTCATATGTTTTGACACCAAGAACAATGAAACCAAAAGATTGAAAAACTATGGTGGTGGGGAGTAGAGGAGGATATCCTCAGTGTCCAATACTACTAGTACTACTACTAGTAGAATTATGTAGTAGTACTACTAGTACTATTTGACACAGAGAGTTGTTGGTGTTTTGACTTTTACTAAATGAGTTCCTTGGAACATGGTTATCATTGGTTTTTAGTACTAGTAGTAGTATCATCACTTAGCAGAGAGCTGTTGATGCTTTCATTTAGTATGAATGAATTCCTTGGAGCATTTTACTGGTGCAATCATCATTTAGTAGTAACTTTGTAATTAGTTTGTTAATTATTAGTAGTGGTGGCAGTGCTCTTTAGTTCAATATCATGAAAATTTCTGACCATGCAATCACTTCCACCAGCCTTGCATGCAGCAAGGATTGTATATACCTATCGACCCTTTGGTTTGGTCACCTTGTCATCACGGATTCACAGCATTTRGATTTCGACAAGCTGCTTTAGTATCGGGCCCAAACAGTAGTTTTTTTTTTTTTGCATTGTAGGGATCATGAATAGAGAATCAGTTCGTGCATGACGAGKACGGCACAAACCATCCTTAATACGAGATCGAATTTTTCTGCAKGTTGGTAACCAATGCTTTGCCAATGTGTTGACAGATTCTTTGTAGTACTAGCAGTGCAAATGAGAGAACCATGCTTTTTGCACTTCTTTTGGAGGATCTTCAATCGCGCATGGATAACCCGGAAACAACACCACACTGAACTCGGAGAAGACATTTTGATGCACATCTGTCTCCTATCTAGATTGTTTCGTTCATACAACTACTATCACGACCAGCATTGATAATTACTACTATCACGGAAGTTATTCTCCCTGGATCTTCGATATCCAGAGTTTGACAAGAATGCTGCGATTCGCGTTCAAACCTCCCTCTGTAGATCGTTGACCCTTTGGTAGTACGTGCCAAAGCCAAACCTTCTTCCGAAGAACTCTAGTGGGCGCTGGTTCGATCTACTCGGCCGATGGCATTTTCCGGCGAACGGTGAGTGTCGAACCGGGCCAACGGAAGTCCGCGAGCGAGCGAGCGACCACCCGACCACCCTTTTTGTTCCATCATTTGCCACGACACCCATCGCCGGTTCGGCGTTGCTAGGGCGACGGGAAGRGGCCGATGGTGTCCGACAGCGACGGAGTCGATCTGTGCGCCGCGACCGTGGAACACACTGSACAAAGACGCGCCATTGGAAGCACCCGGTTCGGACTTTGCGCTCGTTGCCGCGTGGTCTTGCGGCACACCGTTCGCTTGATTGCTSGTGTGTTGGATTCCGATCCCTCCTCCACCCCGCTCCACCCGGATCTGGCCTGGCCTAGCCTGGCCGAGAGCGTTCAGATCCGGATGAAGGAGGGTTTCCGCCGACCCATCGATGGCAGGAGGACGAGCAACCGGCGCAGCAGCGACGAAACTTCCAGGACCACCCGATCCCTTCCCCGGTCCAGCCAGGGAAGGGCAATTTCCTTTCCGCCCGGGACGAGCTGTAGGGCCGAAAGGATTGCCACCCTGGCGAACAGGGCCAGGAGCAGGTACGTCGGAATCGCAACGCAGACCCCGTAGGGCTTGGGCCGCCGGCGTTTCTGCCGCCGCTTGTCGAGTTTCTCTGCCATGCTGGGAATCCCGTCGGTGGGGTGCGAGCCCCTCTTCTCGTAGCTGTTGATGCGCTCCGCCCGTTCCTGTTCCCGTTCGTTCTGGCGCTGTGTCCTCAGGGCCCGCCGAAAGGCAACAAAGGGGTTCTCGTGGCCGTCCCTCTTGCGTCCCTGGGGGGGATACGAATCGAGGGTCTCGCCCACCCACCGGCAGCCAAAGGTATAGTGGAAGGCGTCCGCGGGCCTCCGCCCCGCGTCTGGATCGGCGTYGCTGGTCTTGTTCTGGGTCACAAAGGTGGCGGCGGCCACCGCGAGGGCCGCGACGTCCTCCCTCCCCACCAGTGCCGGGCCCGGCACCCGGCCGGTGCAGGACACCTGAACGGAGGTGGTCTTGGGATCGCGCTCCTCGTCCACCAGGTCCCCCGGGCGCAGAACGACCGACTCCACCAGGGCGCTTTCTTCGAGGAGGTGCTCGGCCATCTCGTGGTACCGAAAGACGAGGGAGTGAACGGCRTTGGCAACGACCGGGACGATGTCCCAGGGTCGGTTTCCGACGCAGAGGTCGGAGATCCGGACGAAGCGGATCCGTGGCACGTGGATCTCGTCCTGGTCCAGGCCCTCTTCCTCCGCGACGGCCGAAGCGGCGGCCTCGCGGCGCAGCTGCTCCCGCTCGGCGTACCCGAGGGCCTTGCGGGTGGAGGCGTAGCTAACGTAGTACGGGTGCCTGCCGTCCCGGCACCAGGAGCTSACGTCCGCTCCGAGCAGCCGTACCAGTGGCCTGGCCAGGACGTCGTGCCAGAGGTGGGTGCGACGAACGGAGCCCACGCAGCTGATGATCGTGGTGCAGTCCCGGATGGAGTCCTCCAGGGCCTCGTTGACGTCCGGGAGGCCGTTGTCGTAGTCCTCGATCCCGTTTCCGTAAAAGAGGGACGCCGATTCGGCCCGCTCCCTCCACAGGAGGTCTTCCTCGGTGTCYTCCTGCACGAATCCCGGGAGTTCCTCGGGCGGAACCAGATCTCCCTTGACGATCGTGAGCTTCGGGCCCCGCGGGTTGCTGCTGCGTTTCGCGAGCACGGGCATGAACTCGTCCTCGTACAAGACCTTGGTGGCCTTGCCGAAGCTCCGGACAAAGGCCACGATTTCCATGTCCACGTCCTTCATTTCCATCAGCTGGCGCACGACGTGCCTCCCGACCCGTCCGGTGGCCCCCAGCACCACGATTTTTGGCTTTTCGGGGATCGATTTCGGCCCCAGGAAATCAAAGGCGGTTTCGGTCGGGGGGTCCATCGTGGGCCGCGGGCGAGGTTCCCGCTGCTCTTCCCGCTCCATCTCCATTCCGTCGTCTCCGGGGCCGTAGTAGCCCCGCAGCTTGCTGGCCGGGCGCGGTCCCCGGTGGCCCCGGCCCACCGAGCGAATCGCATMGGAAGCGGAAGCTGCGCAGCGGCCGGAGGGCGTCTGCAGCGCCGTGCTGTTCCCGACGAGGGACGAGAGGGAGAGGATTTGCAAGAGCAACCAAGATCGCATCACCATCGTCATCGTCGTCGTCATTGACATTGTCATCATCATTGCCATCGCAAGGATCAGTGCTAGTCGATTGTRTGCTGTGTTCTCAACCCCGGGTTAGGTGCAAGACATACACGGTAAACACRAATCCTGTATCCATCCAATTGTGAAAAATAACGTTGCGAATTGTTTTGCTCGACAGACCCAAAAAATCTTCGATCAGAGTGGTTCATCATCATGTGGGTGTGAGATTTTGATGAAAGCCGACACWRAAACCAAACCGAAACATTCTTCGAATCCAATTCCGATTCAATTCAATCAAATCGAAGGGGTCAAATCACCCAGGCCATCGACGACGAAGCCAGACCGGCTTCGAATTGAAACACGACTCAAATCAAATAAATCAATCACGAACAATCCGATCTAGTAGAAGTAATCGTTGGAAAAAACCGTTGGGACGACAAAATTGTGAACTGAGCGATCTGTTCCACAACGCAACACCATCCCCCGACGATGGTGTCGGAAGCAGAGCAACCACTGCAGGGATCCCAACCATACGTAGAACAACAGAACGGTTTCTTGTTGTAGACAGCATCAAAACCGAGTTAGAATCAAAACATCGACATATCTACATTGCCTCCATTCCCAAGAGACAGAAAGGACTACTGGCATACAAATACAATACAAAACACAACACAACACAACACTTCCGCCCCGTGGCTGTTCGTCTTCGGTCATTTTTGTTCCTCGCGTCCGGGTCGGGTCGCTGCTTCCAATGGTTTCGGGAGGCATGACCGCCCGGGTGGAATCGGTCCTGGCGGACACCCTCGACGACCTGCACGTCCGGAGCGAGGTMGGCGCCTGCCTSAGCGACATGCTGCTGGACATCGAGACCACCCACCACCTGCAGCAGCAGCTCGAGCTGGAGCAGGCGCAGAAGCTCCTGGAGAAGGCCCGGACCGAGCGGCAGGGGGTCATCCTGGAGGCCCACGCCGAGCGGTTGGAGCGGTACGACCGGCGCCTCGGAATGGCGGACGCCTTTCTCAAGGAGCTCCTCGAGGCCAACCGCGAGGTCCGGGAGCTGATGGAGTGGAAGGAAGYCCACGAGCACAAGGTGAGGAGCTACGACGCCGTGGTGGCCAGGCTCGCGGCRACCGAGGAGCAGCTGAGGGAGGCCCGTTCGAACGGGCACAAGGCGACAGCAGCAGCAGCAGCAGCGGCAGAGGAAGACCCGGGCGGATCGGGAGGGGAAGCCGCGGGCGCAGAGCACCACGAAGCGGGGGAACCGGCTCGTTCGCCCATCGATGCCGCAGCGAACGCCGAATCGATGCCGGAAGAGACCCCCGAAAGCACGACCACGGTAGGAAACCCGACAGACACGGCAACAGCAACAGCAGCAGCAACCACAACGACGACAGCAGCAGCAGCAGTCCATGACGAAACGCCAGCAACAACCGATSCCACTACAAAGGAACCAGACACTCCGGACCCTGCGGGCCAAGCCGAGACCGAGGAACAAACCAATGAAGTGGCAGGAGGAGGGCCCCAAAACGCATCCTCTGYAGAGGAGGACCAGAAACCACCSGCCCACGACGCCGCGGTGGTTTCCATCGACACCGAAGCCGACAGCAAAGAGGACGTTCCGACCCTGTTGACGCTGGAGATGGAACCACTCATGATGATCTTTGGATTYCTCGATGCGATGGACATTTTGAACACGGCGCAGATCAATGTCACTATGTACACCAAGGTCGACAACATTTTCGGAATATCGGAAGACGGMCAATCGCCGCCCGTCCCCACGCCATCGAAGCCCCCGCCCCCTCCCAAACCAMCGCCGCCAGCGGTGGCGGAAACCCCTGCCATGAAACCACCGCCGCCGCCGCCTCCCCCAACAGAGGGAGGCGGCTCGGCAGCTGGTGGGGCGTCCCCCGCCTCGGCGGCCGGCAAGGGCAGGGGACTCTTTTCCATGATGCAACCCGCCAAAGCCGAARCAAAGCAGTCCCAGCCCCTCAACGCAAAGGTGGCACAGTCGATGGCATCGAAACTGTCGGATGCGGAACTGGCGGCCATCATTACCATGACGAACAAACTGTCCAAGCTGGAAAAGGAAGGACGCGCGCTGAGAAACGAAAAGGCGGTCCTGCTGGCGAAGCTAGAGGGCACGGAAGGAGTCAAGCAGTTTTTGATCGGAAAGGTCCGCGACGTCGAAGTCAAGCTCCAGCGGTCCAAGGAGGACGAGATCAAGGTCACCCAGCAGATTGCTTCCGACCAAGAAGTCATCGCCTTTCTAGACGGACGCGTCCAAGAACTCGAGCAGCAGACCGAGTCCCTGACGATGGAAAAAACGGGAACCCAGGCGGGACTCGACGACCTCAAGGTGTCTACCTCGAAAAAGATCACCATGCTCAGCGACATGCTCAAGTACGAACGAGAAAAAGTACGCGAAGACGAGAGCGACTGGAAGGCCACCAAGAAGGTGCTAGTGAAGGAAGTAAAGAGCTGCCGCGCRCAGATCCTGGCGCTCCAGGCCGAGAGAGAYGGCCTCCTGGAGCAAAACGACATGCTCAAGCGAGCCGTTGTGTCGACCGGTGGCGGGGGAAAGCCGCAGCGCTGAACAGAAGACACCGAAGCACTAGTGGTGGGAGACAGCGSCGAGTGATGCTTTGGAGCAAGCAAGCCCGGGACGTGGTTTTTTCCCTCTTCCCGTGAATGGGACCCGCCGACGATGGCACCATCATACTTTAACTTGCTGTAAGTGAAATGTTTTTTTAAACTTAGTAGTAGTCGTCGTCGTCATCTTTGGTCTAGCTGTCGCTCGAGAAACCGAGCCACGGCCTCGTCCCCACGGACGTTCTCGTCCTGCCGCAGCACCGACRTGATTTTCCCGCGGCGTCGGTCGTAGTCCGAGCCGTCGCGGCAATCGTAGCTCCCCGCGAGTATGGCCTTCACGCCGTTCAGCACGACCGTCTTTGGCTCGTCGCCGGGGCCGCCGCCGCTCGTGCTCTCGTCTCCGAGGGACAGGCGCACAACGACGAGGAGAAACGAGTCGAGCATCTCGTCGACCGCGGTGGCCGGGACATCCCACCGGGCGGCACCCTCCCCGKGAGACTGCGGTGCGGCTCCCGGCGCGGCCAGGGAGCCCCACGGAAAKYCGGAGAGGCGGGTCCGGCACAGCACGGCGGAGAGGACCGMGGCGGGGGTACAGGGGTCGTCCCCCCGGACCCGCGCCCACAGGTCCGGCAGCACCGCCTTCTCCGGGGTCGGGCCGCAGAGGAGCGACACCAGKYGATCGTCGGTGCGGAGGTTCCGGACCCAGCCTTCGAACCACCGGGCACAGGGGTCGGCCCGGTCCACCGCCTTCCGGGCCAGGCGGGACCTCGCGGAAGAATCGTCCTTTAGAAAGATCGACACCATGAGGTGCTCGATCTCCGTCGCCAGAACCTCCGAGTATTGGTCCCTTTGCATCAGGTCGAGCCACATCTCTCTCCAGTTGAGTGCCAGAGCCGCGATCAGGGTGCGCTCGTTGCTTTCGAGCGGATCCCTGCCGTCGCGTTGCGGATCTTCGAAGCGTGCTACCTCTGCTAGCGTTTCGATCAAGTTTTGGCAAATACCGTAGAGGACCGGACCGTATTCGGGAGAGGATCTTCCCTGGTCAAACCATTTTCTTTGCAAAGCAATGATTTCCAAGGCGAGCTTGCGATCGCTTCGGACCGATTCGGACAAATCCTTGTTCAGAAGGGGACAAATTTCGTTCCAATCCATCAGCAAATCTTCAAGGTATTTTACCTTTCGGAACACCTCCAAGCGTTCCTGGGCCGTCGAAGCCTCTTGGATTTCTTCCAAGGAAACGGGCAGTGCAAACCCTCCTTGAAGCTGGTCGAACAACGAAAATGAATTTGCGGTGCTGTTGCTAGTTTTTCCAGAGCCTATCGAAAGTTGTCTCCCGCCGGCCGTSGTCTCCTCCCCAACGACAGAAGACGCGTTCTTAGATTTCCATTCCCCAACAGCTCTTGCAAATGCTTTTTGCAATATTTCCTGGTCCTCCATATAAGCAAAGTCACTGTTCATATTCATATTCAGCGAGCAATTTCGAAGCACTACCTCAATCTTTGACTCGTMAACATCATCTTCTCCGTCATTCCCATTGGCATCGTTGCTATGGTCGAAACCATTTGGACCTTGAGGATATACGGTCGAGAGTTGCTCTTCTAGCGAGGTTGCAATGGTATCGACCCATCCTTCCYCAAAACTATTGCCACTCATGGCGGCATTACGGTCGATATAGAATGATGGGCTATTACCAAASGGCTTTTCGATAGGACTGATAGGATCGTTGCGTTCATGGTCGAGGTCGACCTTCATCTTAGTTCGGTCGTCCGAAAAGTCCGATAAAAATATTATATTATGATTGGGGTTAGAGTTTTCATGAAACTTGAGATTGGCTGTC